AGATAGCTCGACCCACACGACAAGTTAGACCAATAATTACACCCTTTCGATTCCTGATGGCACTGATCCGATGCAATGTTCTACTAATGCCAGCTCTATTGTCAATGGCAAAGTCACCGACCTGCAATGCATTAGTACAAAGATCTTGATATGGTTTTTATTTTTAAGTGGTTAAAACGCATACTTTAATTTACTCAGCCACATGAGCTAAGCTTTTTTATCCTTTTGGAGGAGTAAGAAGTGGAGGATTTTAATCCTAGCAAGTCTTTTTTTTATACTGATTGATCTTTTTCGGTTAAATTGCTAAATTACAAGTTTAGTTTCTAAATTTTTATATTTGTGTCTAATAGATCCCTCACAACTTTAAAAGTGTCCAATTAGTCCATAAACCTTTAATTTTATATCTAATAGGTACCCATGTATTCGAAATTGTTTTAAAATAACTTTGTTTTGATATAAAATTGAATTTTATGTCTAAGGGAACATTGAACCTTCAATTTTGTGTCTATTAGACACGTGAATTAAAAAAAAAAATGTAGAATATCAATAACTTATTCGAAATAAAAGTAAATTCTTGCAAATTTGAAAGGTTAAGAACTTATAAAACTTTATGAACACAAAATTGAAAGTTCAGAAATCTATTAGACATTTTTTAAAGTTTAGGGATCAAATCGATATTGACTTGAAAGTTCATAGACTAAACTTGTAATTCAGCCACATTTTTTTACATTGAGTTGATAAACCTACCATTAATCAAAGAACCAACCATCCTGTCCTATTTGAACTTTGGAGTAATACCAAGTTACCAACTGACCTTCCACCAATTTCGCGGTGGTACAGTGAGAAATTTCCAAGTTCCAAAATCCTCACGGCCTTCACCTCCTTAAAGACATCTTTCCTCCAATTCATACCAGTCGAGATTCTCATAGTACACATATGAATTGAACACAACACTCCTAATCTGCCAGTCTTAGTAAGATTAACGCTACTCCATATGGTCGCCATTAACAACCAGCTTTAGAAATAAATTTGAAAAAGTTAACGCAATATAGGAATTAGATCGGTATGTTATAATTGTGTTCAATTTCTAACTTCCCAGACAAACAATCAAACAGGACGTGGGCAGTCTCATCAAAATAAGTAAACAAACAAACGAATGTGAACAAAGAGCTGAACATACCTTGGAAGTGGCAAACCGTAGGTCATCAACAGTTATTTGAGAATCGGAGAGCAAGAAATCCCCAGTAGGAAACCGAGCCAGTGGTTTCCGACCCAAATCCAAGACAACTTCAATCAGTTGGTGACACTCCTCATGCTCCCTTATTCTACGCCGCATTTCTTCAGGTAAGAGCACCAACAACCGATCCAATTCATCGTCGAATTCTTCATCACGGGAAGAAGTTTCAGGGGAATTCATAGAGCACAAACATAATCGTCGATTCCCAGATGCCCGATTCACGAGAAACTGAGAAATCAATGATCGTTGAGGAAATAGTTGAAGGGATTGACGGTGAAACTTGGGAAGAAGAGCTTGGCACTTGAGCTGGATTGTTGGAGGAAGAAGAAGAAGATGATTAAGCTGTGTAAACCTAAGCATCTGTTAATGGCGGGAAAAGTTGAAACCCTACTCTTGATTTCAACTTCCCTCGAAAAATTATCAAACAGTTCTTCAGTATCCGATTGGTAGAATTTTCACTTCTTTCTGGCCACAAACATGGAAGAAGATAACTGATCTTTCTCCATTGATCTTCGAATTTGCAATAAGTGATAATTATTATTTTTCATACAATAAATAAATAATTTACTTTGAAATTTGAATAAATATCTTTAGCCCTAAATTTAAATATTATAACTTAAATATTAATGTGAGGGGAATAATAAAGATTAGAGCCGGGTTGGGCTTACTTTTTTCATTCACTAATGGGCCACGGATCAGCCCAATTAAATTGAAGAGACGGGCCCAATTAAAATTGGGCTTGCAAAGATTTAAGATTATAATAATTATCCCAAATAATAATAATAATAATAATAATATCTAAATCAACATCGTACAGTGTGAAAAATATTTTGAACCAACTAGTTTGGTTAAGTTGGTGACTCGAAAAATTCGAAAAACTGAAAATTCACAATCCAATTCAACCTAACTTGAAAAACTGAGTTAGGTTCGATTGTCGAGTTATTTTTTTTATTATTTAAAAATTTTATAATTATCCAAATTTCATAAAATTTAAATATCAAACATTTACAAGTCATAATGCATAGCTAATATCGGTTACAAACATTAAATATTTTTAATATTTTTAAAATATAGTACGTTAGTCGCATTGACGGCAAATGAAATCGAATTTTTAATTTTTCAATAATTCAACCCAACTCTAAACGAGTATTGACCGAAGAAAGAAGCACTCGAACGTGATTCACTTCTAACAATGGTGCAAAGGGGTTACCTCAAAAGGAGACAGAGTGACTCGCTAGAAAGGAACTATCCTTTCCTTACTTGGTTGATGGTATACATGAGATGACAATCTTTCTCTTGGGCTTGTACTCGAGAAAAATTTAACCTTTTATTGTCTGGGTTGAATGGTCTAAGTTAGTCAAATTATCGAGTCATATAAACGTTCTTATAATCCAAACACTCGAAAAGTATAAAGTGTTATGGACCATAATGACATAAAAAAACATATTAAAAATTAGAACTATTAATTATATATATATATATATGATAATTAAAAAGTTGGAGGAAAAGATATGAAATAAATTTTTTTTTTTTTTTT